GGAATGAACCCAACTTGATCATGGTGTATGATTTTTTAATGTGCTGTTGAGTACAGTTTGCAAGTATTTTTGAGAATTTTTTGTCTGCTCATCAGGGAAATTGGTCAGTTTTCTTTTTTTAATTTATGTCCTTATCCAGTTTTAGTATCAGGGCAATACTTCATATAATGAATTAAGTAGCATTCCTTCATTTTTTTAGTGGAATATTTGAGAATCATTGTTAGTTCTTCTTTAAAGATCTAGTAGGATCCATCTGGTCTGGGTTTTTCTTTGTTGGGAGACAAAATCTCATTGCTTGTTATAGATCTGTTTGAGTGGTTTATATCCTCTTGGTTCAGTTTCAAAAGGGCATATGCATCTGGAAATTTATCAGTTTCTTTTAGATTTTCCAGTTTATCAGACTATAATAGTTTTTTTTTCCAGTACTGAGATTTGAATTTAGGTCTTCACATTTGGCACTCTACCTCTTGAAACACACTTCCAGCCCTTTTTACTCTACTTATTTTAGGGATAGGGTCTCACTTTTTGCCAGATTGGACTGTGATCCTCCTATTTTATACTTCCTGTTATCACTGGGATGACAGGCACATGCCACCATGCCCAGTTTTTTTTTTTTTTTGTTGAGTGTCACAGCTGTGATCCTCCCAATTTCAGTCTCCTGCACTGATGAGATGTCAGATACATACCACAACACCAAGCTATTGGTTGAGATGGAGTCTTGTGAAATTTTTGTCTGGGATGGCCTGGAACCATGGTCCTTCTGATCCCAATCTTCCAAGTAGATAGATTACAAGTGTGAGGAACTGTTGCCCTCCTCGTTGACTCTTTGTATTTTTTTTTAGACTCCATTTATTAATTCATGCCCTAATCTTATTTCTTTCAGTTTAATTTGGGGTTTGGTTTGTTCTTGCTTTTCTAAGAATTTGTGGTCCATTAGTAGTTTATTTGAGATCTCTATGGTTTTTTTTTTTTTAATATAGGTGCTCATAACTATAAACTTTCTTCTTAACACTGCCTTTGTTGTAACCCTAAGTTTCTGGTAAATTGTGTTTTTAGTTTCAATTGATTCTAGGAATTTTTTATTTCCCACTTCAATATCTTTATGATATTCACTCAACAGTATATTGTTTAGTCTCCATGTGTTTGAATATTTCCCATAGTTTCTTTTCTTGTTAATTTCTAGCTTTATTCCATTGTCTAATAAGATACACAGGTTATTTAAATTTTCTTGTGTTTGCTAAGACTTGCTTTATGTCCTAAAATATCTATTTTGGAGGAAGTTCTATGGCCTAATAAGAAGAATGTGTATTGTGCAACCATTGCATGAATTATTCTGTATATGTCTGTTAAGTTCATTTGGTCTACAGTATCATTTAATTGAGAAGTTTCTTTGTTCATTTGTTTGTCTAGATGACATATCTATTGGTGAGAGTGGGATACTGAAGTCACCCACTGTTGTGTTGGAATCTAATCTGTGTTTTTATGTTCAGTACCAGTTTGTTTTATGAAACTGGTTGTGCTAACACCTGTTGCATATATTTTTATAATTATTATTGAGACTAAAAGTTAGGAGATAGAAAATGGTCTGACAGAACAGGGACAGCGATGCTCAGTGGAAACTTACCAAGGACACAGAGATGAGATAAACAGGTGTGGGGAGTCTGAGGAATTTTAAAACCACTTGCCCAGGCCTTAAACTACTGAGGAATGTGAATGATACATAGCCATACCCTGATAGGATGCCCAGCTGATATGCCTGACCTCACGGGTATTGGAACGAAAAGAGGGGCATACACAGTATCCCCATCAAACACATTGGCTGGTGATGACATACATCCTTTAAATGGAGAAATAGAACAGAGATACAACCAGTTTCCCTTCAACCAGGAAATAAAATTCTTATCAAAACCACTAGACAAAGAGCCTTGTGGGCTCAGCTTTTGAGACCACACCTCTATGGGTGTTTCTTCTTTCCTCTTCCTTTCTGCTTAAATAAAACTCAGCTTTTTTGCTAACTTTGTTGTCTGTGACTTTCATACTTTGATCGCACAAGACAAAGTTCCCGGCAACTACTACTGCACTCTTAAGACTGGACCATTGCAACATTATCTCCTCTTGATGGATTAGTCCCTTCATCAGTATGAAGTGACATTCTTTGTCTCTTGTGACTAATTTTTGTTTGGTGGATGTTTTGTCAGATATGAATATAGCTACTCCTGTTTGCTTTTGGGCTCCATTTGCTTGGAAAATCTTTTTCCATGCTTTCATTCTACACTGTTGTTTGTCACCATCAGTGTGATGCATTTCTTGTAGGCAACAAATGGTCAGGTTTTGTTTTTTTAATCCAACTCACCATTCTATGTCTTTTTTTTGGAGAATTGAGACAATCAACATTCAATGTTATTATTGAAAGATATGTAGGATTTCCTATCATTTTTTGTGATGTTTGCTTCATTCCTAATCCTCATTTGCTTATCTACTTGTCTCATGGGATTTATTCTTTCCAATATTTTCCTGGTTGCATTTATCTTCCTTTTCTGTGTGTAGGATTCCTTTAAGTATCTCCTGCAGTGCTGGTTTAGTGGTCAGGAATTCCTTTAGTTTTCATTTAGTGGAAGATTTTTATTTCTCCCTCAATTATGAAGAACATCTTTGCTAGATACAGTATCTAAATTGACAGTTATTTTCTTTCAGGGCTTTGAAGGTATCATTCCATCTTCCTTTTAGAGTTTCTGTTGAGAAAACTGCTGTTATTCTGCTGAGTTTGCTTTTGAAGTTGACTTAGGACTTCTGTCTTGCAGCTTTAAATATTCTTTGTCCTGTATATTTAGTGTTTTAACTATAATATGTTTGGGGAGGTTCTTCTTTGATCTTATCTGTTTGGTGTCTAAAAGCCTCCTGTACCTGGATAAAACTCTTTCTCAAAATTGGGAAAATTGTCTGCTATTTTATTGAATAAATTATCCCTGGCTTTAGCTTGCACCTCTTCTTCTTTTATACTCATGATTTATAGGCTTGGTCTTTTAATGGTGCCCCATAGGTTTTGCATGTTTCATTCATACTTTCTTAGATTTTTTTCTTTATCTGAGTGTTCTAATTCCTCTAGTTTATCTTCAAGCTCTGATATCCTGTTTTCACCTTGTTCCACTCTATTAGTGAGGCTTTCAGCTGAAGGTCTTGTTTGAGTTATTGAGCTTTTCATTTCCAGAATGTCAATGTGATTTTTTTGTGTGTGATTTCTATCTTTTTACTGAATTCCTCTTTCATAACCCACATTGTCTTCTTTATTTTTTTCAGTCATTTAAATTCTCTTTGAGTTCATTCAGTTGTTTATTTGTATTCTCTTTTAATTCTTTTGAGTGTTTATATATATATATACTTTAATTTCCTTCATCATTTCTATCATCATTCTTTGAGTTCATTGTTTGAGATTTTAACTACTTCACTATTGTTCAAGTCTTTTATTACAGAATTGTCTAATTTTGGAGGTGATATACTGCCATGTATCTTCATATTACTTGTGTTCCTATGCTTGTGTCAGAGGCTAAGTGTTTGGGTGGAGGTTTTAATCTTCTGTGTCCTTTCAGTTGCAGTTTTCACAGTATTTAGACAGGATTGGGTAGTGGTCAAGTTGTGGCATATTTTTTTGTCACTGGGCTGGGGGTGTGACTCAGGAATCAGTAATTCACCCACTGTGCTCAAAACACTGAGTTTGTCTTCTACTTCACTCCTGGAGGAGATAAGGGGCTGTTCTTTAAAGTGGCACAGTTCTCAAATCAGAGACTATAGTGCTCATCTCTGGGTTTGCTGACTATCTCTGTGATCATGCTGCTTAGGTCCATACCAAGATTTTTGAGATGCACCTGGGGTAGTGGCAGGCCTGTGCTGGCCATCTGGACTTTATCTTTAGACTCATAGGGGTTTTAGATTGCCTTGGCTGCCCCTGGATTCTGTGCTTATTTCACATCTAACAGCATGTTTGTGAGATGTTGATGTAATACATCTAGTGTGCCTGCAGTCCTACTTTCCTTAATATTCTGAAGGAAGTTTGGTGTGAGAAAAGCTGTTCAAGTCAGTGCTTCTGTGAGGAGAAATGCCAGGAAATGTTATCCAGCCTCCATCTTGCTCTAGACCCTGCTATTTCAAGGCCTTTATGTTATTACATATGGTAACTTATAAAGTGGAAGATGTTGAAGGACTTGTGAAAATACATAAATAAACTTTGAAAGTGTCTGGGCTAGCATATTTTTAAATTTGTTTGCAGGGCTGGCTTAAAACTATGGAATAATAGCAGTGGTTACTTTCATAAGGCATTAAATATGTAGCTTTAAATGATTCTTATAAATAAAAATTTGAGTTCATTTCAGAGATTGCCCCTGCTCTCAAGGTGATGACTGTCAAGTAGGAGAAACAAACAGTTACAGGGACAGGACAATGGGAAATGTTAGGCTAAAAGCACAAAGGGCTATGGGAGCCCTGAATGGGCTAGGGGATTGATGACAAATGTCAAGGACATTGGTGACAAAGGGAAGCAATGTTTTGGCTGAGACATCAGCTTTAATGTAAGATGGGAGAAGGGCAAATGGAAGTGTGTGTGAAAAGGCATGGAGGTGTGAGGGACTGAGGTGTTTTCTGGGGTTAGGGTGGATTCCCAGAAGAGTGTAAAGCAGTATGACATGAGATAGGAAGAAGTCAGATCATGATAGCTTGCGTGATTGGTCACTTTCCTGTAGGTGACAGCTGTTGAGGATTCTAACTTAGAGAGTACAGGGTCTGTTTCAGAAGTGTCTTCTCTGTGTGGTGGGGAGGATGAGCAAGAGGTAAATAAGAAGGATTAAAGGTAGAATTCTCAGCTGGGACTTGGGGAACGTGGGCATCCTTATATTGACATAAAGAATGAATACTGGCTTTATGATATTACTTTTCCACTATAATGAGCTGTTTGCTCAGTTTTTAAATTTCTTTAACAATTTTATTTATAATCTTAATTTTTACCCAGCCATACATGTATTACATGTAAAAATCATGTTTGTCACTGATGAAACATATTAAGAATTGAAAAATAGTATTCTTTTAAAGTGCTGCTCTTTTAAGGATTTTGTACCCTTTAAATGCTTTGACTATCAATAGTGCCTTGATGGGCTCTATAAAACAAAGCATTTCTCCAGTATAGGCAAAATGATAAATATTTGAAACATTATTTTCATGTAAGTTATTCATAATAATTTTTCATTACACCTTCAAAATCCCTGAGAGACATCAGAAATCCATTTGCAGATGAGAAACCAAGGTAAAGACTTCTTATTGGTTTCAGTGTGAGAGACTAGAGTATATCTGAGACTATTGCTTTTGACTTTATCAGTTTCCTAATCACTCCTGCTATTCTTTAGTTTTAGTTTCTTTTCTGAGTCCAGAGTGAGAAGTGCCCTGAGACTTCTTGTTCAGTATTGGAAACATATTGCATGATGAGCACAAAGCATTCAAAGTGCATAGTACCAGAGGAGCAAAGTTAGGCGCTGTTTCTCTGCCTGTTCAGTTTAGGAGAAAAAAGGATATGTAACACTGATCATTAATGAAGAGCTGATTGTGGAGTTGGTTCAGAAGACATGGTAGATGATATGTGCTTTCATGTTCACAGTCATCTGTCCGACATGTGGTCACTGGGCTCTTCCTGTATGAGAACTGCATAGCTTCCCTCCTCCCAGTTGATGCACTTGACAACACTGCAAAAGCAAATGAGACACTGTAAAATGGAGATTGAGGCATTATGTAAGGAAGTAATGTATAGTCTATGTTTTCCACGTTTACATGGCTTTTAAGAAAGTATGCAAGCTATGCGTACCAGGAGCATCCTGGTGATTTGAATCCAATGGACTCATGCATAGTGTTCTGAAAAGAAGAGATCTACATGAGATTTTTAATTGTCTAGATCCCTAAGATCTCCCATCTGTCGCTGTGCCTCAACTACAGCTACTACTGATGTTTCTGTTCAGTAACTGGAACTGCAACTGGGAAGCAAGGACACTGGAAATAAGTCAATAATATCAAGTTTAAAGTATCAAGACTATGGGGTTTAAAAAAATCTCAGAAGCCTATCTCCATTTACCTTATTATTAAAAGCATTTTCAAAAGAATAACTACCTTTTTTCCATCTGTCTTTAGAAGACTATTTATACATATATAAAAATAAAATTATCCAATAGATCTGTGTATGCCATTTTTATTAGTTAAGTAATTTTTCATGATATGGCCATATCATTTATTTAAACATTGTATCATTGGACATTTTTGTCATTTAAAATTTTTCACTGTAAAGAACTCCCTCCTCCAAACCTTTGTGGGGGGTAATGAGTTTGAATTCAGGGCCTTGTACTTGATAGGCAGGTGCTCTACCACTTGAGCCAAGCCCCAAGAACTTCTTTATATATCAATCTTGGACAATATTACTGATTATTTTCCTAGGATAAGTTTTTAAAAGGAATCATTGGACCAATCATTATGAGCCTTTCAAAAAAGCTTTTGATAAATGTTCATGAACTGCTTTATGATCAAACGCCACTACCACCATCAGACAAGATCAAGGCATGGTGTACTTGCTAGCACAGCATACATTTGTAATTTTGCTAATTCAATGGGCTAATAGACTCTTAAGGAAAGATATGCAATAAAAATCACTTTTCACCAAAATTACAGAAACTGCAAGTATTGCTGCACCTTGTCTGACACAAATCTAGGTATCAGAATTCAGCTGAGACACTGAGTACTAAGCGCCTGCGCGAATGAGATCTGTGTTGGCCTTTAAGGAGTCTTGGTGTTGGCAGAATGCTTAATGCCTGTGCTTGTAGCTACTTTTCTCCCTTATGGTCTCCTGCAGAGTGCTTAGGAGAAGCAGCAAAGGCCTGGCTCCTTGGGACCCCTTTTTCCTGATTCCTGTCACCAGGCTGTACCAGCAGCCAAGTGAAATGGGCAGAACACAGCAGAGTCAGGTTAATGAGTTCCTAGCTCACTGCTTTGCTCCACAAAGATATTTGCTTAGTTGTTTTAACAACTACTTAGCTAGTTGGTACATGCGGCAAAGGAAGAAATAAGTATTTTTTTTAATTTATGCCTTTGATCTATCACATGAAGTATTCATAAATAGAATTTTGTACTTTGTATTTACTTGAATGCTTACATTTAAAAGGGAATTATATAAAGGACAACACTTGAGAGGGAGAAATAATATTTGGTGCATTCTATCTACTACTGTCATTTGTCCAAGAATCTGCATTAAAGTAGTAAATCTTAATTCAGCAATCATCGCCCATCAGAGGATATTACACTCTGTGAAATCACAATGTGAATATATATTATATATATCCTTATTGTTAGATGCTAATTTAATCAGTTGTTTATATTTGAAGAGTCAGGGTAACTTTTCAGGGTCTCCTAGTTGTGATCAGTCATGGATGACACTTTCTCTCTTCATCAGTCTCCAAAATTATTGACAAAATTATTCATGTCCAAAAGCTCATGAGAAAAGCACATTCTGAGGCAAAATTTCAACAGATCTATGTTATTGTGTTGGTGGGTTAGGGAATTCATTTGCGTTTTGACAAAATAATTAAAATAATTACAAAATAATTAAAAATAATTACATACCATAGACTGATGGCCGGAACAAGTAACAGACCAGCAGACAGCAGAAAAGTGAAGCCAGGATACCAAGCAACAGTGACTGAATAAATCCCATTAAAAGCAGAAACTGCGGTTACTCCACTGAGTGTCTCTAAGAAAGCAATGCAAGCAAACAGTGCACCTGTTTGGAGTAGGGATATGGAGGGAGAAAAAGGAAAGGCTGAGTTGCAAAATCAGAAACAAAACCTAATGGGGAAAACTCATTCATTGAAAACAGCCAACATGGAGCATGACATGGTGAATGAAAGGTATTCCATCAGAATTCCTGAGAAGTCTGTAACCCATTCTGCAGATGAAATAATGGAAGTGAAGAGGTCTCCTTAGAGTTGATTCAAGAAATATTGAAAACCCAAAGTCGCTAAGTTCCTGTATCCACAGGACAAAACTGAAGTGGCACCAGCAGCTGACTGGTGCCTCCTCCTGTCGCAGCCTCAGGCCACACCTAGCCCTGCTGTTTCCCATCCTTGTGCCCATCTGTGAAACACTGTCAGCAGGATAGCTCCCAAGAGCCTTCTGAAAGGTTAAGAAATCCTTTCCCTCTGCCTCTCAGATATGGCAAGGGTGACAGCTACAGGCAAACAGACGCAATTCATCATGCATTCTGCAACACGAATTTCACCCTCCCTGCAAAGTGCCCCCCAAGTCCAGTGGCTACTAGACTCCTGCATGTGTGACTTGTCCAAATGCACATCTGCCTTGGTTGCTGCCATGTCCCCAGAGTCCAAAAGTCCTGGTGCATGGTAGACATTTAATAAATATTTATTAAATAAATGAATAAAAGCTTAATTCAGGACCCCACTCATCAATCACCAAGCAGCATATAGGTTTACTGCTTTCATGATTTACGATAATATACTAAATCAGTTTAAGTGGGAGGAAGTTCTCCTGTTTGCCTAATCACAATATTACTTCTTTTATCTGTGATCCCTTGCGACAGCCAGGAATGGCGCAGGTCATATGGATATCCTCTTGTCTGACACCACACACTATTATGAAGTAGCTGGACTTCTCTGAGCAGTTCAACTTGTTTAAGAGTTGCAGAGATAAGCAGGATTGAATAAGTGCATCTGAATTTATTTTCTAAACTTTTTTTAATCTAAAAGAACTCAAAAAATTAAGTCTGTTTCATTGGGTCCTGGTTTGTAATCACAAGGAGTTCATGAGTGATGACAAGGCAAAATAGTTACTTTATGATTGCTTTAGCTGTGTGTTTCACATTTGTATGGAGCACAGAGATTTTAAAATAATTTCTAAAATGCCACTTTCTCATCTTTCTTTTTTTGGAGGTGCTGGGAATTGAACCCAGGCATCGTGTACATTCAGCACATGCTTTACTACTCCCCAGCCCCTCGCCTTTCTTATTTAAGATGACAGACATAGGGACAGGCATCTAAAAGCCTCTGCAGTTATTTCCCCTCTCCTTCAATAATTACTCCTTCAAAAATGACCATTTTTTAAAAAACAAATAAGGATGCAAATACGCTGCTAATTTTGATACAATCTAAAGTACTTCTTAGTGAGCAGTAGGAACAAGGCAATTAGACTATCCTAAAAAGATGGAGTCACAGCTCACTAAATTACTGCAATTCAGAACTAGAAATGCCAAAATCTAAATTGAACATTTGAAAATGTTGCTATATATAATTGTATGAGATGACTTTTTAAAAGCCTTTATAAACTAAAGCAAATATAAACAAATTAACTATACATCTTGACAAGTTCATTTCCACTCTAAATCAAAGCAGGTAAAATTTGTTTCCTAACAGCTTTATTGAGATATAATTCACATATCACAAAACTTTTTTTTTTTTTTTTTTTTTGTGGTGGTACTGGGGTTTGAACTCAGAGCCTCACGCTTGCTAGGCAGACTGCTTGAGCCACACCTCCAGCCCTTTTTTGTCTTTTTTGAGATATGGTCTTACCATACAGCCCAGGCTGGCCTGGAATTTACCATATAGTCTCAAACTCGCAATCCTCCTGCCTTAGCCTCCCTGGCACCATCATGTCTGGCTAAAACTCACTCTTTTAAGGGATACAATTTAAGTTTTAGTACATTCACAAAGTTGTACAACTCTCACCATTGGCTCTCTATGGAATATTTTCATCACCCCCAAAGGAAACACTGTTCCCAGTAGCAGTAACTCCCCCTTTCCCAAATCTCTGGCAAGCCCTACTCTAGTTTTTCTCTTTGGATTTGCCTATTGCAGACATTTCCTAAAACTGAATCAAATTTATATAACATGTGGCCCTTTAGGACTAGGCTGTTTCATTTAATCATTGGTTCATTCATGTTGTAGCATTAGTCAACATACAGCCCATGGGTAGGTACACCACATTCTGTTTGTTCATTCATCAGTTCACAGTCATTTGCACCGTTTTGCTGTATATGTAGGGATGGGATTTCTGGTTTCATAATTCTGTGCCAATTTACATTCCCACTAGCAATGTATGAAGTTCTAATTTCTCTCCATTATCACCAGCCCGTGTTACAGTCTTTTTTATGTTAGCCATTCTAGTGAGCCTTGTATGGTTTTGATTTGTGCTCCCCTGATGGTTAGGGATATTCAGCATTTTTCACATAATTATCAATCATTTGAATATCTTCTTTAGAGAAATGTCTGTTCAAATCCTTTGCCCATTTTTTTTTTTTGGCGGTATGGGGTTTGAACTCAGGGCTTCACGCTCGCAAAACAGGCCTTCTACTGCTTGAACCACACCTCCAGTCCTTTTTGCTCTGGTTATTTTGGAGATGGTCTTGCTTTTTGTCCAACATGACTTGGACAATGATCCTGCTGTTGTATGCTACTTGTCAAAGCTGGGATGATAGGTGTACAGCACTGCATCCAGCAATTAGTTGAGATGGGGTCTTGCAAACTTTTTGCCCTGGTTGACCTCAAACTGTGATTCTCCTGAGCTCAGCCTCCTAAGTAGATAGGATACAGGTATGGACCACTGGCTCCCAGCTTTCTTTAACCATTTTTGATTGAGTTGTTTATCTTCTTCTTGTTGAATTTTAAGTGTGACTTTTTTGTGGGGGAGCAATACTGGGGTTTGGACTCAGGACTTCGTGCTTGCTAGGTAAGGGCTCTACCACTTGAACCATGCCTCAAGCCCTTTTCACTTTAGTTTCTTTGTCAGGTAGGGTCTCATGGTTTTTCCCTATCTAGCCTTGGACCTTGATCCTCCTTGTCTCTATCTCCCAAGAACTGGGATGCACAGGTGTACCAGCACACCTAGTTCTTCTAATGCTGGATGGAAGTCCCTATCAAACTTACGATTTGCAAGTATTTTCTCCCATTCTGTGGGCTGCTTTTTCACTTTCTTCATGGTGTCCTTTGCAACACAAAAGTTTTTCAAAGAACAAACTTTGAATGAAGTCACTCAATGATGAAGTCTAATTAATCTATTTTTTCTTTTGTTGTACTTTTTGTGTCATATCTAAAAAGCCACCACATAATCCAAGGAAACAGGTAGATTTTTATATAGCATAGTTACAAATTTTATATTCCTTAGTGTTTTTCAAGGTAACCATCATCACATAGACCATAAACAGCTACAGTTTATGAGAGGAAAAGAATCAAGGAAGAGCAGCTCTGGTAAGTATGGGATCTAGACAGGGGCTCCTTTGCCCCAGTGTAAACCTCTTCCTAACAAAGATCACCACTTCATTCAAAAGGAGATCCAGGCAGCAAAGAGGTTGTAAAATATTCTGAAGCATCAGTCACCATCAATCGTACAGAGATTCGAGTGGGCACATTTATTATATTCCTTAGACAAATTAAACTCACCTTGTTCAGTAGAACGAACCACTTTTGACAACATGGACCGCAGAACAGACAGTGGCATAATCGCGAATAGCAACGGCACCCTGACTGAGAGAGAAATGATTGGATAAATAATCAAACAGGGCCAGGTCAGAACTCCAATGGCCAGTCATACATGGGAAATACTGTCCAAACATTTCATTTCCTACGAGTATTCTGACTCACTGCATCCAAAGAGTGAATTAATTAATTAGGCTTCTGCTTAACGAATTAAAATAGACTACAGACAGATCAGTTTTAGGTTACTTTACTCTAGAATTCTTAATTCCACTAACAATAGCATTCATGGAAATTTTTGGTACAGAGCTCTGTAATCTTCCAATTGAAACTGATCTGACTATTTTTCTAATGATATAGCAAGCTCTTATTTAACAAGTTGCGACTGTTACTAGTTTTTGTCTTTTTTGTTCTTGAGTTTTTGGACTCGGCTTTCTTCGTGTTGGCATTTCTTTACATTGTGGATTCCTTTATTGGCAAACTGGCTCTTTTATCATCTTGCTGGTTCATTTTTGTGGCCAGATAACTTCAAAACACAAGTTGCCTTTGTTCTTAAGTGATACTGCTTTAATAGTCAGTAGCCTCTTTAGTTTTGTCATGAACTAGTAATATATTTCCTTTGCACATAATGTTTTTACATTTTTTCAAGGTATTCTCACAAATATTACCTTCCATGTCCTTAGCAGCTAAGGTAGACAGGAAAACTGGCATTCAATAGCCATTGTGTCAAGTGCTTGGTGATCTAATATTCACTTAACTCCCTGAATGAGGTGTTGCCACACCCATTCTACAAATGACAAAACAAAGGCTATGAAGAATTTAGTAATTTGGTCAAGGTCACCTAGTATTGCATGTGGAAATTAAGCCCATTTTTCTTTGGTCACACTGCTTCCATGCAACATAGTAAGGAGTCACCAACTCCATTACAGAAAAGACTACATCAACATCCCACTTCACACAGCCATAGTGCTTTCCAATCAGGATCTCCCTCAAGCCCCATAATTTGCCAAATAGTAATTCATTAAAAATCAATTCATGTATTGACCGTTCTGCAAATGATCAGTTTTCAAGACCTGCCTCACAGAATTTTCTAAGAGCCACTCTTCCTAGAACTGAAAGGGACGGGACTGTCAGAGCAAACCCCAAGTACCCCTTGCTTTCTTCATCTCTTTGGAAGCAATGGTGTTTATGATGTATGATTTTATGTAAAGTTCATGCAAGTATTTTCTATTCAGGTCATGGCCTGTTACTGGATGGTGAAATTAATTTGGTGGAGCATGTCCAGAATATTTTTTTAAAGAGAATAAGACAAATATCAAAATACATTTTACAAAAAGAAGCTTTCTTCTTGAATATACTCAATGAATATGAAGTTTTCTCATAAATCTTTTGGGTATACCTCATATAATTGGAATAGCTTATGAAATATTGAAGAACTGAATCATAGGAAGAATGTCTATCAAAACAATTTTTGGCAAGTATGCAAATTTAGAAAATTATGGTCATTTGGTGAATTCTTTTTTTTCCCCAGTAAATTGGCTTCTGGCAAACTAGCTTTCTACCTTTAATTGAAGTAATATGGGTTAAATAGAGAGCTTTATATTAAGTTTTCTTCCCCAATAGACTGAATTCACCTTATATAAAATCAAATATACAGTTAGTTCTGAGGCTACATTTGTAACTCACCTAAAAACATCAGCAGCGTAGTTCTGGCAAAAGCAGCCATGGCCATTCCTACCATGGTGGTAAAAATTCCAATGAAGGTGATATGAATGTCTTCCATGCAAAAAGAAAAAAGCCATATTCCTAGGAAACTACTCAAAAAAGAAACACTCCCCAGAGCTGATCCATAACCTATAAGCACTTCATTCCAGCAGAGCGGGGAACCCAATTCATAAAGGGTAAAAACTGGGGAAATGCCAATTATCACGAAAAAATAAATGACTATTATAAAGATTAACAAACAGAGCAAACACCGTTGTTTACCAGGACGATTTTTAAAAAGCATGTATGTTCGGTAAAATAGGTCTTTAAAGCCTTCACAACATGACATAGTAATAGGCTGGGATAAAGACTCTTTCATTGGATCACTAAGAAAAAATAAAATATAGGTCAAGTTAACAATAAGAACTACAGCAATAATGAAAAATGACCACACAAACCCTAATTCTCTAATAAAATAGCCAGATGACAGTCCTGTTAGTCCAGTAACAATTCCAAGCATAAAGTCAATGATAGCTATTCGAATTGTTTTTTGTTTGTGTTCTTTACACTGATCCACTATATATGCAAAGCAAGCTCCCCAAAATGTGGTGTAATTGCCACAAAGAGCACCAATGAAGGTAGAAGCAATCAAAAGCTGGACTGGAAAGGCAAAATAGGAAAGCAAACACAGCCAAATGCTGGTTACAAGAGCGCCAACAGAGGATAAAACCATAGGGAGTTTTCGTCCATAGTTGTCACTACTAGATAAAAGCATGAATGTAGACACCAGACCAGGAATTAACCCACTTATGTCCATCTGCAGACTAAAAAGAGACACTTTTTTCTGAACTTCCTGCAAAGAAAGAAAAAAACAACGGTTTACCGAGAGTTATACAATGTGCATAAAAACAGCCCAGGGCATACCTTCCTGATGCACCATGCATGTGTGTGGGGAATGTCTGGTGCGTGGTGGGAGGGGGTTCAAATCTTCATCCAGTTCACAAGCAGGTGTCAAAGTGACATAATCACCCATCTTCAGTCATGACACTAAGTACCATGCATAGTGAGGATCTAAACCCATAAAAAGAAAAGTGTGTGTCTTTTTTTTTTTTTGGTATTGGGAATTGAACTCAGGGTCTCGAGCTTCCTAGGCAAGTGCTCTACCACTTGAGTCATGCTCCCAGTCCTTTTGCTTTTGGTTTGCTTTTTGTTTTGTTTTTTTCAGATAGGGTTGAGCTAACTTTTGCCCAGCTTGACCTTGAACTGCCGTCTCCTACCTCCTCCTCCCAAGTAACTGGGTTTCCAGGTATGGGCCACCATGTCCAGCCCCAAGTATGTGCCATTTTTATAATAGGAAACACTAAGTTCTTTAAAAACAAAAGATGGATTCAAGTTCTATCTAGAGAGCAGCCTAAACAACTGATGAGGTACAAAGTATCAAACGTTTTTCTTCTCCACTACAACCTGACCTACAGGGGGCATTTTGTCTCTTTCACCTGGTTATCAGCAGTTCTGAGAATAGTGCTGGGCCCAGGGCAGGCACTCTGTAGATACTGATATAAAAGAAGGCCTCTGTGGCTTGCTAGCTGCACAGGATCTGACTAAATTATCTCCATGGCTTCTTCATCTGACAAGTGGGGATAAAACAGTCCCTATTTCACAGGCTGTTGGGAAGGTAAAATTGAAAAGAAATACAAGGTGCCTGGCCCAAGGCCCTCACCCACAGTCAGTGCTCAGTCAATTCTACCTATTTAATTTCTACTAGGTCATATTTCCTTGAGCTCAACTTTGCATCTGCCAAATAAATAGTGATTAGATAAATAAATAGCAAGTATCTCTTAATCAACTTCCCAACCAGAAGTTCCAGTTCTTTGGGTTTCATTTCTGCCCCTCCACCCACACCCTGCCTTCCTCTCCTATTACCATCCTCAACCCCATCTGTACACAGACTACCTCCTCACGTGTAATGTGTGTTTCAAAATTCAGATTGGAAGGACAGCTGCAAGTGCAGCTCCATCATGAGTCATCATCGAAACACAAGACACAAATAGGTGTTTGTGTATGTTTTAAACTCTGGAGAACCCTAGCTACATATCATATAAGGATTGACAGGAGAAATGTAAAAACTGCCATTTTATATCTAAGATCGAACAGAATGACAGTGAACTGAGATAGGGATAAATTAAGAAAAACAATTTTAAAGAAGTTACAATTTCTTAGAGTAAAATGTAATTAATTCCAATTGAGTAGAAAATATTCAGCAGGTGCCAGTGGCTCATGCTTATAATCCTGGCTACTCAGAAGGCAGAGATCAGGAGGATCATGGTTCAAAGCTAGCAGGGCAAATAGTTTGTAAGACCCTATCAAAAATATCCAACCCAAAAAGGGGCTGGTGAAGTGGATCAAGCAATAGAGTATCTGACTAGCAAGTGTGAGGCCTTGAGTTCAAAACCCAGTACTACCAAAAAAAATTCCATGTCTTTTATCCTAAGTAAGAATCCACAGATAGCAGGTTATTAAAAGGCTTAAAAAGAAAATCTTGAGCAAGAACTTCATGATCTGTTGGGTTTCCCCTAAACAATCCCCTCTTAATATCACAGCCCCATCCTAATTGTTGCCTGAAAAGAACAGACACCAGTGGCCAATTCATCACTTCAGACGAAATCACTTAACAAGGAAAGGAATAGAGGGGAGTTCAAAAATTCCTTCTTCCACAAAAGTCACACAAGTCTTTACTTCTTTGCACCTTGGCCAAGAGCTCCCCTGCCATTGTGTTAAGGGTCCTTTCAAGATTAATCTCATTGCCTTCTAGTCACAGGGCTCAAGAAAATTGGGAGATTTGTAAAGCTGGTTAAATCAACATTGTTATTTATATGAGTGTGTAGATGTGTTTATGTATACTACTAACACAAAATGGGTTGAAAAATAAGACTCATTCAAAAACATACTTTCAAAATGTGAGAGAGCTCAGTTTATTCTTCACCTTATACCCTGAAACTCAAAATAGTACCCATACTGTACATTAGCTCATACATGTGCATTTGTTATGTAGGAAGATAAACACAGCACTAATTGGTTCATGATCATCATATGTACTGTCCTCTTACCTACAGTTGTTCTTTGGGAAGGGGTGGTAAGACAGAAGTTTGAGCTGAAAAAAATCCTCTATTTAATTGTTTTATTTGGGACTCACCCTGTGCTGTGACATCTCTTATTTTTAGGATGGTTATGAGAACAGTCCATAAACCCCTAAACTCCTTTTGGAGAGCAAGTGGCCAGAGCCCACCCAGTAGGACTGGATATAAAAGACATTTCCTCAGGGAACAGGAAATGTTGGCTCCTGGATTCAGAAGGAAGCTGATCAGGGACAGGATCATGAAAGGGAGCAGAAGGAAGTGACAAAGGCCTTGTGGTTCCTTGTAAAACTGTTACTTCATGAATGGCCATGGGCCACCAAGCCCTCTACCTTTCCCAGCTGTGGGTGACAGGGTGGAGTAGGGTGGGGGTGGTTTCTAGTTCCCTACTCTGAGCTATAAGGGAAGGGAGCTATAATAAGTCTCTTAAATATTAAAACAACTAAAAACAATAAATGAAAAATCAGTCAATCAGTTTGAAAATCTGGCCAAAACCTTTGAAATGAGACTGCTGCTCAGGCAGGAGGGAGCTCTCAGCAGCTGGACCAGACTGGAGGGGGCCAACACTCATCACCTGCACAGTCACAGAGGCCACCAAGGTGGATGAACCAAGGTCTGTCTCGCCTTAGTCCAGGAGGGTGGTACAGCAGACATTCAAGTCCACTCCTCTCAGGTCCTCCCATGCGAACAAGGGGGCCTGCTCCTGGGGACAGGTGAAGAATGCACAGAGCCAAACACAGAAGTGGTGAGCACTGGAGTCTTCTCACTCCTGGGAAGGATGCATAATGAAATCTTTCTGGTTTTTTGGTTCTCCCCCACTGTGCTGGGTATCAAACCTTAGGCTTTACACATGCTAGGGACGTGTTCCACTACTGAGCTACACCCCCAGCTTAATGTTACATTCTTTTTTTTTTTCCCCTTGAGATAAGGTCTGTTCTCCAACTTACTATGTAGCCCAGGCTGGCCTTGAACTCCCCATCCTCCTAAGTACTGGGATTAGTGTGTGGAGACATTTTTGAAGGGAGATAAATTGCTTGGTGAGGTCCTTGGCCCTTCTCTTGGCCATTACTCAAGGCCAGACCTTGTTGTCTGCATAGTTGCCCAGAATTAATCAGTTCTAAGAAAACTCCCACGGAATAAGGAAATGAGTAAGGCCAGGGGCTCTGCCAAGCAGCTGGGTCTCACTCTAGCCAGCTTCCATCTGACACCTGGGGGACACCTTGGGAAGGGCTAAGGACTTCCCTCCTGGGCCCTCTGCCATTTCCTCACCTCAGGCTCATGTCCCTTCACAGAGACTCTCAGAGCCAGAGGAAGAAACCTAATTCCCTAAACTTTTTATCTGTGACTGGGAAGGCAGTGTCACTTTGCTGTCACAAAATATCCCCAAGGAGAAGAGCTGTGTTTATAAGCAGTTTGTTTTTGAGGCACTGTAGAGAAAAACATTTCTATATCTGGAGTTATCTTCTTTGCATTTGAACATGGGTCAACTTTGGTCAAAAACTGCCTCACAGAGTCCATGAGAATAGTGAAGTACCTCTTGTCATAAACAAATACAAGATTGGGGTTGGGGCTGGAGGGGCTCCTCATAACATTTTCTATGTCCTGGGAGCAAAGTGAGTACTCCCGACTGTACAAGTCTGCACAGGGCACAACATGTGGGAGCCAAGGCTCCCACACCAAATCATGCACCTCCAAATGAGGAGTGACTAATGCTGCCCCACCTCCACCCAGGGACAGACACTGGCTCACAGTCTTCAGTGACAGGCCACTTTCTGGATGGAGTCTTTGAAAGCTGGGACTTGCAGATATAGTAGAAGGTTGCTGAGAGGAAGGGAGAGAGATAGACACAACTTGTCTCCCTACCCATGTCCCCCACGTAGTCATTCCAGCAGAACTTGGTGCAATTTTTAGACACTCTTTTCTTGGGACAGAGGAAAGAGACCACCAGAAGAAATGAAATTATGCTGAGATTTTCTAACAGAAAGGAGAAGAGCCAAAGAAGAAGAAGGGAATAGAAGGTGTCAGGAAACTCCCAGTGAGAACTGAGCACAGGTCATGTGATTTGGGTCTGATGGTCATCCTTGAGAGGCCAATGTATAGTGGGTGTAGTGTCCTTTTTCATTTAAAACCTGGTTCACATTCTCCTTTTTACTGCATTTTAGGGGCATTTTAATTTCTTACCTCCCGGAATGCAAAAATTGGGCTGCTTTTGTTTTGGTCGCACTCAGAGACATTGCTATCTTTGGACACAAAGCTGTAGTTGCCTGATTCTTCCCAGATTCTCCTGTACACATACTGTGTGGTCAGGGGAATGGTCAAAGTCATAGCAAACGCATTCAGGAGAATGGCAGGTTCCACAAATGAAATCTTCATGTTGCTTGGGAAAGTAGCTAGATCCTATAAAATAAAAAAAAAAAGAAAAATGAGAGAGGCGATCAGTGGCATTCATCCCAGAGGCTAGGTAGCTTTTCAAAGATGCTGAAGTTAGAACAGTTTGTGACATAAACATAAATCAAAACATAAAGGCGTGAGCACTTCCTAGGAGAAACCGTGACGTCAGATCTGCCTCCACACCCCAGGACTGTCACACTTGCCATTCTGAAGGGCAGGACCTCTTAGGATTTAGCCGCCTTTCCAATGATTCTTTGCAATGATCCTAGTAAGTCCTCAGTCATCTTGGTTGGCCAATGGTCACATTACAGTTCCCATAGTGCATATTACCAGCTGTTTTCCATGAAGAAAACACTGAAGTTCCTCTTGGGCCACCACAGTTACGCAACTGTCATTGTTATTTGGGTGCGCGTTAAGGGACAGGAGACTTTTAAAAAACAGCTCCGATCGGAAGGTTTTTTTTGTTTTGTTTTGGTTTTGTTTTTTTAACTCACCCCACGATTATGGTCTTCCTGCCAGGCTAGGCGCAGGCCCGACCATTTGGGGGGACTGTTTGCTCGGATGCCCTGAGCGGGGCCAGGGCTACGCGGGCGCGGATCCCCGGGACGGAGAGGGCCAGGGCTACGCGGCGCGCGCGGGGTGGGAGGAGAATGCCCGGATGAGTTCTGCTCGACACGCCCGTCGGGGAAACTCAGCCCTATTTTAAAGCAAAGCAAGGCAAGCGCACTTCCTGCGTCCAGAATGACACCTGCGACGTTCACTGCGCTGCCCTCTGCTTCTCCGCGGCCCTGCCGACTCGGTCCCGGCCAGCTCAGGAAGGCCCGGGCACGGCCAGCTCCTCCTCCTGCGCCCGCTGCAGTCTGTCGTCTGCTGCCCGGCCGGCGGTGGCCGCGGTGACTCACGCAGTCCTCAGAGCATCGCAGCCCGCCACAGAGGCGGGGCCCTCCGCGGTCTGCGAGGGCATGGCCCTTCCTAACTCTCTTGCCATTGGGCCCCGCGGCCGACACCCCTGCGGTGATTGGTCCGCCTCAACGTCACTCTCGTGCGCTCCCTCTGCGGGGCCGTGGCTGCGTAGCGGCCTCCAGAGCGGCTGGGTGGCTGCATTGTGCGGTCGGCTCGTTCAACGGTTCTGAAGCTGCAAAGCATTTGTGAGTGTGAATATCCTCTTTTTCCGAAGCACAAAGAAAAACTGTAGCAAACGGGCCTTGGTGGCGCACGTCTCTAATTCCAGCACTTGGGAGACTGAGGCAGGAAGATCACAAGTTCTAGGCCAGCCAGGGCTACCTAGGGAGACCCTGTTCTTACTCCCACTCCTTACCCCTTCCCCCCCAAAAAAAAAATCGGTTGCAAAAGTAACACCTTAGGGCTGTAGTTCTCTCTAGTATCCCAGTTGGCTAGGAAAGACAACAGAGGAGGACGAACTAGGCGCCAGTGAAAGGTAAAGGAGAGTGCGCAAGGCTAAGAGTTCCCAGTTGTGGTAGCAACTTAAAAAATATCCATGACCCTCCTTTCTTTATCTGTCAATCGGGGACAACTCTTACAGTGTTGTAACTGAACCCTCAACAAACAGACACAGCCGAGTCCCAGGAATATAGAAGGGTCAATGCACACCGACTCACATAGCTGGAGTGTATCTGAAGCTGAATGAGTTGAGATTATTACTTCTTACGGAAAGGAGGAGCATCTCAGTAAGAAAGTACTAGAAATTGTTAGAGCTTGCATTCTGTGATTTGGGGAAGTGTTCAAGAAAGCAAGGCCTTACACTGGAGTGGTTGCTGTCAGGAAGTGGGACAATACTATGGTTAGGTATCTTAAGAAGTCTTATCTAGAAGGAGTCAAGATCTAATGGAGACTAAAGGCATAATTGATAAAGAAGTAGCAGCCAGGAATATTAGTCATTTTGTGGTTTAGACAATTTTGAGTTTTGTCTGTATCCACACAAAGATTATGGACTGGTCTTGGTTTTGTTTGGGTCATGGTCCAGAATGGCCTTGTCTGATACTGGTGTTCTGTGAAATCGTTTTTAGTCAGTAGAACACTATTGTCCACACAAGTCCAGCTCACAGTCCCAGGCCAGCACCTGGGTGACAGAGGCATCAGTAAATGATAGTTATGGCACTGAATGTAGAGTCAAAAGTCTTGTGTTTGAATCCCAAATGCCACATAGTAGCTTGTAACCTTCAATTTGCCTCTTAACGTCTCAGATTCTGACATCTGATTGCAGCCTCCGTATTTGTATTTCTGCTCTTCATCACAGCTGCTGAGATCTTTCAATGAATTAAAAAATAAAACTCAACTTCCTCACCACAGCCTGAAAGATTCCAGATGATCTGGTCTCTATCCACTCTGCACACCCAGCTAGCAAAACTTCCTCCCACAGCAGGATCACCACCCCTCTCCTTCCCTTCTTAGTTCATTTTACATTGCTATAACAAAATATAATAGTCTGGGTAATTGATCAAGAATAGAAGTTTATTTGGCTCATGGTTCTGGAGGCTGATGCTGCATCATAACACGGCAGAGGGCATTACAGAGTAAGTGTGCTAGCTCAGGTCTCCCTCTTCTTATAAAGCCACTGCTGTCATCATGGGGGTTCCATCCACATGTCTTCATCTCACCCTAACTGGCTCTCAAAGACCTTCTCTCCAAATACCACTGACACATGACTTAGAGGATTAAGTTTCCAACACGTGAGTTTTGGAGGGACACATTCAAACCATAGCAGTCTTCCTTTAGCTGTTAGCTCAAATGTCACCTTAGAGATGTATCCTCTGATTCATCTCATTCAAAGTGGGAAAGTGAGTTCTCCTTGCTATTTTCTAGTTTAACAGCTTCTTTTTCAATTTCTTTTAATACTTCATGTTCCATATTATTTTATTTCTTTGTATTTTTACCTCTGTAGGTCAACTGTGCCCTGCACTAGAATGTATGCTCCATGCATGCAGGGAGTATGGCTGACTCATTCATGACTATATCCACATCTAGAACAGTGGCTTGCCACAGGAAATCTTTGAATGAAGTGAGGAGGTTTTGCTCTGTACTCCCAAATTATGAAATTGTACACTAAATCTGCCCTTGGGAACCACAGAGAATAATTATCTGATGTATTTATTTTGCTAAGAGACTGAGTTTATGACAGCATTCTCTGTCTTTTTGACTAATGGCAAATAAATGTGGACCAGAACACTCAGCAAACTATGATTAAAAACAACATTCAAATATGATATGTAATAATGACAGGAAGGGAAAGGTGTTTAATTATAAAGCTAGTCTAAAATGTGAAACCCCAAACTAACTGGAATTCTACCTGAAATTTTATTCTCTACCAGAAAAGGAAGGAAAAATGCTCACTCTCATTAGTAACTGAATAAGCACAAAGATTTTGTTTTTAAAATAAAATTCATTTGGCTATCATGCAGTGAAATGAACAGTGTCATGCACTGTTATTTAAAAGTAGTTTTATGAACTTTTTTCACAGTAATAATTTAATAACATGCACTGAAATTATTACATATCATCTACCCAGCAAATCTTAATGATGAAATAATATGAATTTGTACACTAATTTAGCTAATTGGATTTTTATCATAAGGTTGCTTACTTTGAAAATATATAAATATATATCAACATGAAGTTACAAATTCATATATATAGGTATAAAATAATAGTGAAATAATGTATATGTATAAATATATATAATAATATGTTTGGAAAAGCCATTATTTTCATTAGCTATTTAACTATAAGGAAAAATTCATACTGTGACATCATGAAAAAAACCCAGACAACACAAAGTATATAATATATCCCATAAAATATATATAAAATGTTAATGGCAATTACTAAATTGTCATTTACTTGCTAAATGACATACAGCATAATTTCTGTATTTGTCATATTTTCAACAATGAATATGTATTGATTTATAGTCAGAAAAAATTTAATTAGAAATGAGGGAGAAAAATAATAGTAATTACATGCAATACCATTCATATTTATTAAAAAGCTTTAGTGGAAAACCCCCCAGACCTTCCCAAAGGCTGATATTTTTCAAGTGATTCCACCAGCTTTAAAGCTGAATCAGCAGTCCTTGGCAAAATGACATTCTTGGACCATTACAGGTGGCCCAAGATAAGTCAGGATGAAAGCTAATTACTGACAAACAACTGAGAGTCCTTTATCTAAAAAAATTCTGATAGATTGGAAAAATAACTGTTGTGCAATGTTAAGAGGAACTAGGGTGAACTTTTGGGCTGCCTGGATCAATCTTTTTAAAACCCAATTCACACAACAGGGAGGCTGAGACCACAGAATCCAGCCCTGGACTTTGTCCCCAAGAAAACTGAAACCAGCAGTGAAATACCATGTCACTTCACCAACACATAGCTATCCTCTAGTACTGAAGGAAGACAGCTGTGGAAATGACCCTCCTTAGAATTCTGGCTCTACTGCCACCTGTCTTTCCTCCTGTATTTCCTGATAGAAAAATGGAGTTCTTAGGAAGTATGAAGGGTTATGAAGAAGTTTAGGACATTTTTAAGGAGAAATCTAGTCCCAGGCATCTGCTACAGAAAGGTAAAATCTCCTCTCTTCTCTTTCTACTCTGCCAGCTGCTTCCATCATTACTCAGGTTGTACTACCAGTGTCCTCTTGGTCACCATGGCCCCTGGGGTTATGCAAACAGGACAGTCACCCCACCCTGGCTCTGACTCCAAGGGGAGTCCCGCCCTTGGGTGCTTTCACATGAAGGGAGCTAGAACTTGTCTTGTCAGCTTTCCTTCCCATTATGTTCCTAGTGGGACACAAATGAGCAGAAAACCTTCAGGTAATCAGCATGGGACTGACTACCGTCCAGGGGACTGGTTTCAGAATACAGGGATTCCTGTGTCCTGACACAGAACATAACTAAGCAGAACTCTATTCATGACCTTTCTCCTGACGTATGAAGGACTTTCAGTTTCAGTTCTGTTAAAGAAAACAAAATGACCAAGACGCTTATTAACGACCCATTATTATTTATTTAAAGGGGACTATGGCAATGATCGGTACAGCTGGGACCCCAGCAATGGAGTGTGGCAGTGGAGGAGACTGAGCTCAACTCCAACTCCAATGAGGATAAATGGGATTTATGACCAAGGGCGGGGTGAGTCTTTGGGTGTAGGATTACCAGGAGGAAACTTAAAGGAGAAACGTTTCCGGTTAAACTGACTTGAACACATTATTGCCGAAGGCAGGTCCTGCGATATGGTAGGTAGTCAGATACCACGGTGGGGGACTTTGGACAAACCGACTTACTAGGATTCTTGGGCAATCTGAACTCTACAGGACAGGAAGGAAAGGCCTGTGTCAGGGCTAGTCAGGTGGGAAGGACTCGGAGGAGTCTGACTAAAGGTTTGGTCACAGGAGAGAGTCTTTGTGAAATTCTACATGTAAAGAGCTCAGAAGTTGTCACTCCCATCCTCAGAGAAGGGAAAAGCTGAGCAAACTGAATAGCAAAGTCTTTTTTTGGAACTGTGGTCTCAGGGCACACCCATATTGCAGTACCTGGAGAGGCAGGGTTCAGAGTCCAAACCCAGATGCCTTATCTGGAGCAGAGGGCCCTGGAGCTTCCACAGCACCAGCACTTATGTGGCATTTTCACACATTACTGGTGGCAGTTTTGGGGTGTGGACTATATCCTCAGGGAAAGGAACTGGGGGAGTCTTTAGTCTAAGGCAGTCCCCATACTTTTGTGCCTTTCACCTCTAGGAAGCCTACCAAGCCCTAAGGGAGTCAAGAAAGATCCCTTGTGGCTCTGGCAGGGGAAGGGATTATTTACCAGAATATTCTCTAATAAAGTCCTCCTCTCCAGGTAAAAGACTTTACTGGGGTCTTATGCAGTGGGGAAGGACATGGTCCTGGCCCCCA